GTCCCCTCTGTCCTCTCCCTCCCGCCAGGCGGCACTGTCCCCTCCCGTCCTCTCCCTCCCGCCGGGCGGCACTGTCCCCTCCCGTCCCCTCCGTCCCCTCCCTCCCGCCGGCGGCACTGTCCCCTCCGTCCTCTCCCTCCTCCACCTCCTCCCCGGGACCCTACATGACCACCAGCCGCCAGCCCTGTCGGCACCCCCACTGCCCTTCTGATCGCCACCTCTGCCTGTGTCACCGCCATTGTCACTTCGTCACCTCTGCCTGTGTCACCGCCATCGTCACCTCGTCACCTCTGCCTGTGTCACCACCATTGTCACCTCGTCACCTCTGCCTGTGTCACTGCTGTCGTCACCTTTGCCTGTGTCACCACCATCGTCACCTCATCACCTCTGCCTGTGTCACTGCCATTGTTACCTCTGCCTGCATCACCGCCATCGTCACCTCGTCACCTCTGCCTGTGTCACCACCATCGTCACCTCATCACCTCTGCCTGTGTCACTGCCATTGTTACCTCTGCCTGCATCACCGCCATCGTCACCTCGTCACCTCTGCCTGTGTCACCACCATCATCACCTCATCACCTCTGCCTGTATCACCACCATTGCCACCTCTGCCTGCATGACCGCCATTGTCACCTTGTCACCTCTGCCTGTGTCACCACCATTGTCACCTTGTCACCTCTGCCTGTGTCACTGCTGTCGTCACCTTTGCCTGTCACCACCATTGTCACCTCATCACCTCTGCCTGTGCCACTGCCATCGTCACCTCTGCCTCTGTCACCACCATTGTCACCTTGTCACCTCTGCCTGTGTCACTGCTGTCGTCACCTTTGCCTGTGTCACCACCATTGTTACCTCATCACCTCTGCCTGTGCCACTGCCATTGTCACCTCTACCTGTGTCACCACCATTGTCACCTCATCACCTCTGTCTGTGTCACTGCCATTGTCACTTCTGCCTTGTCACCGCCATTGTCACCTCGTCACCTCTGCCTGTATCACCACCATTGTCACCTCTGCCTGTGTCACCACCACCGTCACCTCATCACCTCTGCCTGTGTCACTGCCATCGTCACCTCTGCCTGTGTCACCTGGCCACCTCTGCCTGTGTCACTGCCATCGTCACCTCTGCCTGTATCACCACCATTGTCACCTCTGCCTGTGTCACTGCCATCGTCACCTCCGCCCCCAACAGCACCATCGCTGCCCGCAGGCCCCTCCTAGCCTGTTCCATTCCAGCCTGGCAGTTCCCCGGCCCCTCGCAGCCCGCGCAGCCCGCGCGCCCAGAGCCGCTGCGTCTGCTGGGGAAAGAGCCCTCCACAGCCGGGCGTGGGCGCGGTCTCCCGCCTCCTGGCCCCAGGGACGAGAGCAGCCCGCTCAGGGTGTCCTGAGCCTTCTGTCCCCCTCAGGGCTCCCGCGCTCCTGGTGCTGCGCTCCTCGCTGCCAGAGCTCGGCGTACGGGCCTACTCCGTCTCAGCAGTGGGCCAACGGCACGGCCTTCCGGAACACGTCCAGTGAGTGCCCTCGGCGGGGCCCTGGCTGTGGCAGCAGGCCACATGCGCCTGGGGCTGGAACGGTGTCCTGCGGCGGCCACTGGCGTGGGCGCGGGGAGCTGAGGTTCAGACGGGGAGGTTTGCAGGGCTTCCCGCGTCCTTCTGCCGATCCGGAAGGTCCCCTGCAGGGGCGGCTGGTGTTCTGTGCCGCCAGCTCGAGACGCCAGCGCCCGCTCACCAGCATCCGAGGCCGGGCCAGCTGGGCCTCCCACCTCCCGGCCACACGGGGCCACCCAGCCACCCCGTCCTCCAGTTCCCGGGCCTGCTGGGTGGGGCCCAGTGTGGGGAACGGACTCCGAGCCAGCCTGCCTGACACCAAACCCCGGCTCTGCCACCCGCCGGCCGGGCCCCTTGGGTGGCATTTGCAAGCGTCCGTGCCTCGGTTGCCCTGACTGTAGAGCAGGCCTGGTCCTAGGACCTACCCGCGCTGCGAGGATCGGGCAGGCGATGCCCAAGGCCTCCGCAGACTCGGCCCCAGCCCAGGAAGGGAAAAGCCTGCACGGCCCACACCTGACTCTGGGCCCCGCAGGCCACCCGGCCCGCCCGGGCTCTGGCTCGGGGCCGGACAGACTCTGCTGCGTCTCCCTGTGCACAGGACACCAAGCTTTCCATTATTCATGCGATGCGACATCTCTAACAGCCAAGCACAGACCAGCGTAAGATGCCCCGTGGGCATCACCAGCGCTTGGCCATGGATTCTCTCCCCTCCCGGGCCGACGCAAGTTCATTGTCGCCAAGGGCCGACTCTGCGGCGGGCCTTGGGTACCCGCCCAGCCGGCCGGTGGCGGAGCTGGGGTTTGGTGTCAGGCAGGCAGGCTCCGGAGCTGGTCCCTGACCCCCCCCCCACCAGCAGAACTGGGTGCGGAGCGGGCTTAGCCCCTGGCTGCGAGGGTCGAGTCCGTGTGTCAGAGGGGGTGTGACAATGCCCCGTTGTCATGTGATAATGTGATGTGGGCCAAAAGCTTAGGCGACGCATCCGCAGGACACGAGGCACGTTGATGCGGGGACGTTAGAGAACTGCCACCCCAGGGCTGGCCTCTCCCTCCGTCTCAGGAAACGATCACCCTGGGTCTTGTGACTTTTATTCTCCCGCATTTAAAAAAATCACTTACTCCTTATATACGCGTTCATAAACACAAACAGCTATTTTAAAATAACCTCGAAAACAACGTAAATGTCCACGGGTAGGAGACTGGATTAATGAGTTGTGCTGGAGCCGCCACTGCTAGAATGCTACCTAGCAGTGAAAAGGAATGACCCACGGCCATACTCAACTTGGGTAAACCCCCAAAATAATGGTTGAGGACCCTGTGACCGCAGGTCGGGAGGCCACGACAGGAGCCTGAGCAGGTGACTGTGACGGTTGGGGCGCAGGCTCTGAGCTCAGGCAACCGGGCTTCAGCCCCCACCTTTGCCTCTTACTAGCTTGTGTTCCCGGGCCAGAGCCTCAGTTTCCCCATCTGTAGGATGGGGATGATTATGAGCCTGCCTCATGGGGTTGTCATGGAGATTGCACGGGTTCATCCATGCGAAGCATGTGACGCCGTGTCCAGCTGGGAGGCAGGCGGCACCTGCCTTGAAGGTGTCCCGGGGAGGCGAAGGCCCAAGGACCAGGGCCGGGCCCGGCCGGCCTGTGTGGCTCTGAGCTCAGGGAGGCGCACATGTGCCCCGTCCAGGTGGGGCCAGTCTCCTGGGGGAGGGGTGTCCCACTGCACAAAGATGGGGACAAGGAGGAGACAGCCCTGGGTGGGGTGCAAGGGGATGTTTCCAGGAAGGGGCGCAGGCCAAGGACTGAGAGGAGGCCGTGGAAGCGGGTGCTGGGCCGGCGCGGCAGGAGAGGGGGGGTTCTCAGGCGGGTGAAAGCCTGGAGGCTGCGGCTGGAAAGCCGGGGCTTCAGCAAGGGGGCCTCGGTGGCAGCTGTGTCCCCTTACGGTGGCCTGGTTGGAAAGCTGGGCGGGGGCTTGATGCACGTGCGGTCAGGCCAGAATGGCGGGGGCTGAGCCGGGGGACGCGGCCAGGTGGAGGCGGTCAGAGGCCCGAGTGACTCAGTCTCCCCCGCGGCCTCAGAGCCACAGCAAGCCTGTCCCCCTCCCCCGCAGATGCTGGGTGCGGAGCCGGCTGGTGCACAGCGTCCTGGTCATGGGCTATGGCGGCCTCACGTCCCTGTTCAACCTGGCGGTGCTGGCCTGGGCGCTGCAGGCCCTGCGCAGGCTGCGGGCGCGGGTGGTGGTGCGGGGCGCGCGGGCCTGCCGGGACACCGTCACCGTGCTGGGCCTCACCGTGCTGCTGGGCACCACCTGGGCCTTGGCCTTCTTCTCCTTCGGCGTCTTCCTGCTGCCCCAGCTGTTCCTCTTCACCACCTTCAACTCGCTCTACGGTAGGCGCGTGTGGGAGCAAGGCCCGCCGGCAGGGGTGGCGGCTGGCGGGAAGGTCACTGCCAAAGGTGGTGGCTGGCGGGAAGGTCACTGAGATCCAGCCGGGCTGATGGGGGCTGCCCCGCCGGGGAAGGGGTGCTGCCGTCCGGTGTGCGCGCAGCCACCCCGCGGGCCAGCGCTGGGCCTCCGCCCCGACGGCGAGAGAGTCCGGGAGTCCCTCGTGGCCCGGGAGGCCCAGCTCGCTGAGGCCGGCCGGGGAGTCTCAGGCCCTGGGGAGGCCCCGAGCTGCCCCCCGGCGCTCTCACCGGCCGCCCTCTGCTTGCAGGCTTCTTCCTCTTCCTGTGGGTCTGCTGGCAGAGGCGCCGGGCGGAGGCGGAGGCCCGGGCCGAGATGGAGGCCGGCAGCTCCTCCCAGGCGACGCCATAGCCGGGCCCCTGGCCTGGAGCCGCAGCCTCCCCGCTGCCTGCACACCAAGGCCCCGGCCCCCACCAGAGGGGGCGGCAGGTGGCAGGCCTGCCTCTGGACCCCCGAGGCCACCGTGGCCCCCAGGAGCCTTTTCTACCTCCGTGGCCTCCCAGCACCAAGGGCAGAGTGTCGCCCTCCCGCCCCTGACATTCTGCTCCGCGGGTGGCAAGCTGCATCCTCTGTGGGCATCCCCGGCCTGGGCGTCCGGAGGCCTCGTTTCAAGGCCAGGCTCTGAGTCTCACGGTCTGTCCTGGGGCCTGTCACGTCTCACAGACCCTCCATTCCCACGTATGTGACATGGGGGCAAGTGCGCGGTCTCGCCTGCAAAGCTCAGCTTTGTAAAGACTGAGCAAGGCAGCGGGGACAGTGCCAGGGTGATGGGAATTCCGCCACCCCCACCTGCCTGCGGGGCAGGATGGCAACCAGCCTGTCCCAGCCGCCCCTGCTTGTTCCCGCTGCCGGGGAGGCCAGGGAGCGTCCGGCTTGGGGGCCCCAGCCCAGCGCTTAGAGACTCGCCCCGCGTCTGAGACCTCGCTGGCCTCTGCCGGGGCCTCTTTTCCTTTAACTCCCCCAATTACGATGACTCCTAGTCCAAGCCCACCCTCCCCAAAGATTGGGAAGTCCGGTCCCGCCCAGAGGGTCGGACTCCAATACCGCCATCGCCCAGAGATCAGCAAGTTCAGTCCTTTCCAGAAGCTCCTCCCGCAGTGCTCCGAGACCCTCATCGCCAGATAGGCAGGCCGCGGAGCCCACAGCGTGTCCTCGGGGTCAGAGGGGAATGCCTCTTTCCCCAGTGCCCTGGCCGTTTGGCGGTTGGGTGGGATTGAACTTCCCCTGTAGGTGAGGGTGTGGGTCCTCATTCCCGAGCTCAGGCCACGGCTGCGGAGGTCACCATTGCCCACGTCCGTCCCACCACGTGGGAGCCGGCTCATAAAGCCGGTGCTTTTCCAAGAACGGACACCAGGGGGCGCCGTTGGCATGTGCTCAGAGGCCATTGGCTTCAAGACTGCCTGTCTGTGCACACGATGCACCAGCTGCAGAAGCCCATACCTGCAGGACGGTGCCCGCTGTGTCATCAGGAGGAGGAAAGGCGGGCCACTGGGGCCATTTGTCTCTTTCCCCAGTGCAGCTGTGTGCTGTCACCCTCGGCGGCCATGCCCCGGGTATACCTGGCACCAGAGAGGCACAGCCCCCAAGACTCTCAGGGCCCTGTCCCAGGCCATCAGACAGATTTTCTAGCTTTGAGTGTCACAGGGAAGGAACTGGAGTAGGATTCCCCCAGGGAGAGTTTTCCCAGGGGCAGCGCCTGCCCTTCTGTGCGTTTCTGGATGCAGACAGCTTTTCGCCGGGTGCCGAGTGGGGCAGGCTCCGAAGCCAGACTGCCTGGCTCACACGCCAGCGCTGCCACTTGCTGGCTGTGTGACTGCGGACAAGTCACTCAACCTCTCTGTGCCTCAGTTCCTATCTGTAAAATAGGGGCAATAGCAGACCCATTTTGAAGATGAAATAAATAAATCCATATAAAAAGGCTTGGCACAGAGTAAGTGCTTAATAAATGGTGACTACCCTGCTCATTAGTATTCTTGCTATTATTATTAAGAGTGTCAACCGAGTCTCAGAGGCCACCTGTTTAAGCCCCAGGCCCAGGTCTGCTCAACCTTGCAAGGCCAGCCCCTCCTTAGGCATGTTCCACGGTGCCTCAGTTTCTTTCCCCTTTTCTTCTCCAGCCTCGCTGGCTTTCTGCTGTTCTAGGATGTTCCCACCTGGTGCGGCCTCCAGGCTGTTGCCACGTGTGTCCCCCCCCCATTCCCCAATCCTCTGATCTGTTGAAACTCCTGGCGGTCACTTGTCATATCTCCTGTGAGACCCCCGGCCCCATAGAGAGGGCCCCTCCCCACGCCCACTGCAGGCGCAGCCTCCCCCCATGGGGCGACGTGACCCCTATCTGAGCGCCCGGCTCAGCCCAGCCCCGACTTGCACCAGGCTCCCGGCCCTGGCGTGGGTCCCCGTGCTAATGGGGGTGCCGAGGGACCCTGGAACCTTAGTCCTTATCTTGGGCAGCTCCAGGGAGAGTGACACGTGCCTGCAGCCCCCAGGCCGGGACCTGGCCTCTCAGACCCCACCAGGCCCGGGGCTGCGTGAGGGAGGATGTGGCCACAGTGACATGGGATGAGTGTGGCGCTTCCAGGAAATAGCCCCAAGCTTGTGACCCTGAGCCCCACTGGGGGCCAGGCTCTGGGCAGGGGCCACTTCCTGGAGATGCCTCGCTGGGGTGTGGGGAGGGACTGAGGGACACAGGGCCCCTCCCACCCCCTTCCTCCTCCTCCCCCTCCTCCCCCTCCTCCCCCCTCCTCCCTGCGCCCAGCAGAGTCCGGCCTGGCCCAGACGGGGCCAGCTCTTGGAGGGAGATGGAAGCGGGTGGGGTCTGGGGGCTGCAGTCCAGCGCCAGGGACTCTGGAGGCACCTGGTGAAGTGACGACAAGTAGATGCCACAGGGGCCACAGATGAGGTTTCTGTGTCCTTTTGTTACTGTTATTTCAGAAAGGGTGTGTGTGCGTGTGTGTGCACACGTGTGTGCGTGTGTGTGCACTTGTGTATGTGTGCGTGCGTGAGCGTGTATGTGTGTGTGCGCTTGTGTATGTGTGAGTGCGTGTGTGTGCACACATGTGCGTGTGTGTGCACACGTGTGCGTGTGTGTGCGCTTGTGTATGTGTGCGTGCGTGTGTGTGTGTGTGTGTGTGTGTGTGTTTATGGGGGGTTGTTGAAAGTAGGGTTGCCAGAGAAAATATGCCCAATTTTGGAGACATACTTACACTAAAAAGTTATTTGTGGTTTATCCAAGATTCAAATTTAGCTGTGGACTCTTCACCTGTCAAATCCTACGCATTTATTTATCTATTTTCGTTTCTGCGAAACCCGGCGACCCTAGTTGAAAAGAGCATTGGCTCAGGCGTCCAGGCTGCGGACTCTTCACCCGCTGAACCAACCCAGCCTGTGCGGACGGGGCAGCCTCTGCCACCGAATGAGTCCCACCGTCCACAGCTGACTCGGCTTGAGGCTCCTCCTGGCCCTGCTTGTATTGCCAGCCAGAGCCACCTCCGGAGCCCCAAGGAGTCTTCCTTGGGGTGCCCCCACCCTTATCTGCTCTGGCGCAGACCTAGCCTCCATCCCCTGCAGAGCCTCTGCACGGGCCTCCTTGCCTCCCCACTGCCAGTTCCAGCTTCACGTAGCAGCCAGAGGGAGTTTTCTACCCTGCAGCCTGGCCACGAGCTCCCCTGCCGAAACCCTTCCACCCTCCCTTCTTCACTGCTAAACTGCGCAGGACCCCGGAGGGTCCGCCTGTGCCCTCCTCTCCGGCCCATCCCCCCAGCCCCTTCCTCATCCTCCTCCATCCCGCCACGCTGAACCATTTCAGTTCCCCGAACAGCCTCTTTCTCGTCTTTGGGCTGTCCTGTCCAGGACGCCTCCCCGTCCCCTGTGCCTTTCATTTGTGGGACTCCCTTACAGCCCAGCTTCGCACGTCCCCCTCCCCCTCAGTCTGGACCGGGAAGGGGTCCCCGACCTTTTCAGCCCCATCATCCCCTCCCTTCCCCCACGACAGAAGTTATTTCTCTGTATCGTGACTGTCCTTGTCACTCTTGTCACTGTCTCAGCTGCCGGCTCTGAGAGCATCTTGGAGACAGGCGCCGTGTCTGCTTTGCTCATTCATTCATTCATTCATTCATTCATCTGTACATGACTGTTAAGCGCATACTATGTCCAGGCCCCGCGCTAGTTGCTGGGGGTATATGAATAAACGAGTCATCGCATTCTAGCGTGCGTGTGGGTATCACACAATAAGCAATTGAACAGACATAAGAGAAGGCAGGCGGTGACATGGGCTATGAGGCAAAATAAAGGACAGCAAGGGGATAGAGTGGCCAGGAGCTGGAGAATGGACCCAGGGCTGCTGGAGCCGCAGGCGCGGAGGGTGTCAGAGAGTGGCCCCGACTGGCTGGCTCTCAGGCTCGAGTCCTGTAGCGAGTTTTCCATCTGGTGGTGGAGAACCTTGGGAGAGCCGGGGGTGAGGAAGATGGGAATGGAGCCTCCTCTAACACCAAACTCCTCGAGGGGACCGAGGTGCCCTCTGCTATTGGCAGCAGCACAGCAAGCTCAGCGTGGGGAAACTCCCCCAGACTGAGCCGGGAGGACGGGTGCAGAGAGAGACCGAGCAGTGGGATTCAGCACAGAACTCACTGGAGCACAAGCAGGTGAGCCGTCGTGCGTGGGGGTCAGCAGGATTAAAGTAGCAGCAGATTTGAACACTCAGGGACAGAATATAGAGTAGCCACAGACAAGATGTTTAAAGAAATAAAAGACGCAATTACAAAGATGAGCATATAAAACAAACAAAAATGGAGAGAGAGAGAGAGACGGAGAGAGATTTGGGGAAAAAGCAAATGAAACTTCTAGAAATCAAAAGCATTATCTCAAAATCTAAAATTCAGCAAACAATAAACAATTGACCAGAGAATTATTAATAATAAGCCAGAAGTTATATATAAAGAATGCGGCAAAGAGAGGTAAGAAGGTGGCCAAGATGAAGAGAGATCAAATGATATAAAGAACAGAATGAGAAGATCTTGTATACTGGAGACCCAGAAAAAAAAAAAATAAGGGGATGGAAAAGAGGGAGTATTTGAAAACAAAAATGGCTGCAACTTTTCTAGAAGGGATGAAAACCAGATCATTAGAACCAGGAAACACAAAACATCTCAAGCATAATAAAGACAAATAAATCCACGCGTATACACATTTCGTGGGAACTGCAGAGGGCCAGAGGCAGAGAGTGATGCACGCAGTTGGGGACAGGCGAGATAGATCATCTGCAAAGGAACCACAGGACGTGAGCTGACTTCACGACGACCACGACGGGAGCTAAGAGACAGGAACAGTATCTTTAAAGTGATGAAAGCAAATAAATGTCAATTTATTACAGAATTATGTCCAGGAAAAGTACCTGTCAAAGAACAAGAGAAAAAGAAACAAATCCATTTTGCATTTCGAGAATGATCCAAAGAAAC